ATACTGATACTAATTTAACTTCTGTGGGTGTATTTCTTTAAGATTTGAGGTTCTCTTGGCAGTGAAGATGTTGACTGTATTGGTTTTGATGCTGTGTGGTCTTCTAGGTGGTTGTGACACCTTGTGGTCTTGCTGACCACAGTTGATGTGTATTATTTTGTTCATAATTTGGTTTTAAATTTGTATATTTTGCTTGTAAGAGAACTCTGTATGGTCACTGGATTGTCATTGGTAAGTAACCAAAACGTGGTCACTAAATTTACATTTATTTAAACTGACCATCTGGAAATAATGGAGTAATGTTAAGGTGAAACGCCAAGTGTCCAAAGTTAACTTGTGTAATATGTAGAAAACTTCTTTTTCAAAACAGGTAGCACATACAGTAAAATAGCATTTGCATTTCTCAACACTTACATTTCTACTTCTATAGAAGAATTATAGATTAATGTTGTTGACAGTAAGGTATTGTTAAACACATCAGGTGTTGCAGTAATCCTTGAAGCTACATTTCTGAAATGTCAGAAGGTATCAACTTCCTTTACAGGAAACTCAAAATACTCAGCTGACAAAAACTTAAACTTGTTGCTTCCTTGACAAGTTGAAATGCCTTGATTTTATGGAACCTGAAAGTTAATTGCAGTGTTGATTTAAAATTTTCTGTTGAATGCTGTTGTCTTCCGGTGAGTGGAATGTGGTCAACACCTTCACACTCTTTTTTCAAATCCATTTTAATATTATCCTCCCATATAGGTCTTTTCAGTAGCAAGCATTTGGCATAAACCCACACTGAAACCAGTTATTTTCATTGAGGCTTTTATTGAAGAATGAATGGAAGAATGGTGTGTAGAAGTGAAAGTTTTTTTTAACAGAGTGTTGAAGCAGATTAATTGAAAGTTTAATGGTGTAATACATTGTCATTTGGTTTTAAGCCTTGCAGTTGACGTGGATGCATTCCGGCTCTGGGACTGGTATAACATGTGTTCAGTCTAATAGTTAGTATTGAACCAACGTTTGTGGGTAAGCTCACTTTCCTGTTTCCTGATGGTCATTTTCATTTATATCCCAACTATTTTCGGTTAGCGTGCTTGCAATGAAAGTTAAAAAAATGATCCTGTTGACTTCGCCATGTTTGTCCGACCATTCGTTTGTCAGCGTGTAACAACTAGAGAAGCACTGTACGGATTTTAATGGGCATTTGATTTTGGTCTCTGGAGCAATAAGGGTTAGCATTGAATTGTTTTGAAGGAAAATTACTTAAAATATTTATGGTGTAAATATTGAATTCTCAGCAGACTCAAAGTATTGACTGACATGCAGCTTTTGGTATCAGATAGAGTGTTTTTTTATTCACATTATCAAACATCTAGGTCTAGTGGTATCTTGAATGAGGTTTCTTGCCGCCTTTGCATGCGAATGCTACGGCTGGCCCATTCCAACAGTCGTCTGTATTCATGCCATCTGTCTCATTCGGTTCTGTAGAACCTGTGAATTTGAAACTGCATCGTTACGTAACCAGAGAACAATTAAGAGCAGCTTGAGTATTTATGTGGCGTCAGAGGATGATAATTTATGAGTGGGAAGGGGTTTCAAAGTAGTTCATCGCTCATCCCTGGCCTACTACGTACATGTACTAATATACAACGTAGGAAAATAGATGTTTCGCTACATTAGTCGTACTATATTCTTTAATTAAGCGGATAGATAATGATTTTAATTTTTATATGCTGCTTTGTTAGACTATTAAATAAAAATCCGTTTTAAGAACTACTTATATTTTCTCGTTATTTTTGACGCTCATATTCAATTAACACCACGAACATCGAATTAAAGGTTTATTTGCACATTATCTATTTCGCATTTGGCTTCTTCTGCGCAGACAGAAGCTTCTAGCTGCTCGGAGACTAAATTCTCAGCGCCTGGCCCCACGCTCTTCGTTGCATTGTACCCGTGAATACCATGCCACTACTAGGCCGCACTGCCGTCAGACGCATGCGCGAATTGTAAATATATATATATATATATTCGAATTTTGAGCAATTTTTTCGCACCCTTGCACAGCGTATCAGCAGCTGGAATTTTGTGCACAATCATTACTAGATGGGCTCTGTAGATGAGCAAAATTTCAGGTGAGGTTTCGACATGACCAACCGGACTACGCCCTTGTCAGATACACAGTACACACTCTTACCACCTTCGATACTAACCTGGCACATTTGTCGCAAGAGTTATTCAGTAATGTCCGGTGTGAGAAATGTGGTCCAACTCAGCCCTAAAACTAGGTGTGACATATATTAGTTTTATTAGTAGAATTTGTGCTTCGCACGGTCTTCTGGGTTGTAACGCCTTGCAGTCCTAACGCTACACCCCAGAACTGTAATAGTCTTACGTTGGTAACGCCATCAGATGGAATGGCGGCGTTTGCTTAGTGGGAAGAGGCGGGAAGCAGCAGTTTCTCAAGAAGAATTGTAATGGTGGGAAGGCTAAAGTCATTACACTCAAGAGTCTGTTGTAAGGATAATTTTATATTCTACTGTCTTAATCACAGTAAGCAAATTTTTATGTAAATTACAGCAGTGGTAGTGTAGTAATCTGTGTGTTTTGTGGAGTATTGGTTTTTGTTATTCGATAACTTTACACTGTTCACTTTCTATACACGTGATCGACATCAGGTTCAGTTGCTTTTGTCTTTACTGTATTGTATTTTCTCCTTTCGATGTTAAGAAATGAAGACAACTGTATATGTTAAAACTTTTCGAACTGGTTAAAAAGTTTATGCTAAAGGTTTCATTGAAAATGGTTTTGCAGAGATTGGTCGTTGCTGGTGTGTTTTTCATCTGTAAACAGAAAATTTTTACATTTATATGTGTATATGGTGTGTATTAGTAAGAGTGTTGCATTATCTGAGTTGTTTGTGTTGTGGTCCTTTGTTCCAGAATGATGTGAGGTATGACGCATCTGTCTATTTTATTAGCAAAATTTCTGAACAGTGTGGAAAAATGCTGCACACACAACATAGTAAACCGCCTTCACTCCTAATAAGATAAATGCATCATTGTACAATGACTTACCACAACTCAGGTAAGGTAATACTCGACTACTCCACATCATATGCACATATCACATTTACTAATTTAAACATTTTTGTTTACAGATCAAAAACACAATGGACTTGAAGATTGCTGTCTTCTGGGCTGTAGAGGCGTATAGTCTGGTAGAAGATTACCAATGTTTCAGAGGTCCTTGCTCCCTGCATGATCAGTATTCATCATCACTGTACTAAGTAAGTGGAAACGTTTTAAACTTATTATTCTATCATTAGTTTTTGACATCAGAAGGAGACAATATGATCACCAGTGCAATGACATATTTATTTATAGTTTATTCAGTGACGCAGGTTCTGTAGCTCATACCATGTAATGTTGAATGAGAGGATGACAATGAATAATGAATTGTAAATGAAGGAAACATTGACCTGGAATTAAGATAGATTTTTTGAAGTTATATGTTTGGAGCATAGTGCTATAAGAAAGCAAAACATGGTCAGTGGGAAAGCCAGAAAGAAGAAGGATAGAAGCTTTTGAAATGTGGTGCTATAGAAGGGTGTTGAAAATTAAGTGGACTGTTAAAGTACGAAATGAGCAGGTTTTAAATAGGATAGGCGAAGGAAATGTTACTAGAAGAAGAGGTAGGATGGTGGGACACATTTTGAGACACCTAGGATTGGTTAATTTGGTAATGGAAGGAACAGTTGAAGGGGAGACAAAGATTGGAATATGTGACGCAGATTTTTGAGGATGTGGGCTGTAAAAAAATATGTGGAAATGAAGAGGCTGGCACAAGATAGATGAAAATGGAGGACCTCATCAAAGCACTCGGAAGACTGATGACAAAGAGAGAGAAATGAAGGAAGCGGTCATGCATAATTTAAGGTAGTATCTCAGCATTTACCTTGAAGGACTGAGAAAAACTGCAAACACTACAGTCAGGATAAGCAATCTCCAGGCTGCGATTTCAACCCAGGGCTTCCCACATACGAAGCAGGAGTCTAAGTACTCAAAAATGACTTTTGGTAGCAATGACATAAAAGCAGGAATTTGAATGTAATGGTGGCCACAGACTGAAACATGTTGCTCTAGTGAATGGACAATGAGCTGAGTGTGCAAGTGACAAGCAAGAAAAACCAAGAATTAGCGTAGAGGGTTATGTAAGTTCCAACATTTTTACCACGGAGCTTATGTTACCTGAAAACAAATACTGAATAAGATGTTGCACCCCTTTGTTTTATGGAATAAATATAGGACAATTTTGCTAACAAACTGTGAAATGAGTTTGTATGCTGAGTAGCAATCCAGTATCATGCACTTCTGTTCTAAGCAGCGGTTAGATGGTTTGATAGTTCATATTCATTGTGTTCAAAACGGTTTGCAGTTACACACAGTGTTATTCTCTACCCACGTGAGAATGAAAGGCAGTAAAATCAGTGACAGTGACCCAGACTATGAGCACAGGCGTGTTTCTGACTTTTCTGATTCGGGTGGTGTTGTTGGTTTAAAAGAATTACAAGTACAGTAAAACCTCTCTAACTTGGACACTTGCGGTTCCACGATAATGTGTCCTACTTACAGAGGTGTCCAGGATAGAGGGAAAGGGGAAAATCAGCCTTTCAAATTGTGGTGTACTGACAATGTGGTAATTGTAGAGTATTATGGAGCCCTTTCCAAAAGGGAAATTATTTATAAGAAAAATCAAAAGGGTAAATTAAATTTTTACAAATTTTGTTTTCAGTAAACTAAACTTGCATGGATAAACTCAACGGGAAGGGCACCAATACTTTAAGTTTACCGACAATGCAATCTATTTACTTACATAATCTAACTACTGTAGGCTTGCTTGAATTAAGAATTAATGACAATAATAATAATCTTTTGAAACCCATTCTCATGGTTGCACATTATACCCCAGCCTCAGTGAAATTTTAAATATTCAGAATGTATTTTGTTTAATTGTACTTATGGCAGTAGCTCAACATATGATGTCACTTATTCCTTGTAAAAAGGTCCGTCACAAAACACTGCTCTTTTGCTTTTATCTTGGAATTTGCCATCCTCTTTCTAATTTTTGCCGCAATCCGAATAAGGTTTCAACCATTCCTGGTTGATTATGAGCGAAAGCATACCTTTCCAATTTCTGTTAACACTGTTTAACTCAGTTGAAAGCACAGTACTGACAAAGTTAAAACTCAAGTGAGGGGTTTAACAAAAGAATAACTATTCACTTTCACTGCATTCCAATGATGTGTTCAATGTCTCACACCCTCAGGTAGAAGGCATTCATCAGTCAGAAATTCAAAACAACAAAATATTAACTGTAAACAGTTCCCATAAAAGCATTGAAACTAAGTGCATGCATGCACCTGTCCAACTTACAACAAAAGGGGTGACAAGTTCCAGGATAAAGGGGTGTCCAAGATATAGGATGTGGACACGTAAAATTATAGGATATTCGCTGGTTCCAATTAAAAGTGTCCAATATAGAGGGGTGTCCAGGATATAGGGGTGTCGAACCAGAGGGGTTTTACTGTATCTTCCACTGCTGATAACAGTTTGGTAGGAATTATGATACTCCTCTTGCTACTGTAAGCAAGCATACACTCTGTTCACACAGATGACAATTTTCAAGCCAGAAAATCTAATCCATTATTCATGCAAACATTTAAATCAGTGCTTATCAGAATTAGAGACATTCCTCAGAGTGTTTCCCAGTAGTTTATGCTCATATCACAGTGCACTATTGAAAGGTTGGACATCATGAAGGAGTCTACTGGAAAGAAGAAATTATTTTGGCAGATTTTAAATCGACCAGCGTGCTTGACACATTTCCTTATCCAGCTGTTAGAATCTGCATGAGAACAAGGAAACATGTTGCAGAGTTTCCAGAAATCTATAAAAGAGAACACTTTATGTTCTTGGTAAATGAATCAGGTACAGTGGCCATGAAATGGTAAGGTACTAAGGAAGTAATTGTTATAAGTAACTGCCACACAAGTGATTTAGAAATAGCAAAGTGCAAGTTGAGGGATGGCAGCAAAATACCTTGTCCAAAGGCAGTTTTGTTTAATAGTGATTATATGGGAGGTTTGGATGTAGGTGATCACATGACAGAAAATTTGCTAAATGGTGGAAGAAAGTATTTTACAGATTTCTCATGCCATCCGTTGTAAATGCATGAATGAGTTCTGTCTGGAGAGATAAGATGAGAAGGGAGACTACTCCTTTAGTTTCATGTTGTTGTGACTTAATTATTTGTAGATCCTGGAAGAAATGGAATGCCACTAAAAATGCATAAATCCAGTGGTTAGCCTTCAGAGGGCTGTGCAAAAATATGCAATGTTGGTGATCATCTCCCTTTATAAGGTAACGCCAGGAGATGCTTTGACTCCTCTCAGTTTAAGAAGCACGCACATTAATCTAGGCAAAGTTGAAAAGGTGATAACTACACATTTTAAATTAGTTACTGGCGTGTGTTTTTGTATAAAATTTAATTTAAATGAATAGTTAATTCTTGCAGTTAATATAGTTTAATTTGCACGATTTAATATTGTTCTGCTGTTGTTTGTATTAATGAGTCAACAGAATAATTAATACTCTACCTTAAAGTAAGGTGTCACAATTAAAATTTAGGCCTTTTTATTACTTGTTATAAAACCATTAGAATGAGATTTATTGGTAGTTCATTCATTGAAATCACCATTTTAAGATGCAATAAAGTAGTCTCAAATATCTTTGGAATAACAGAATGGAATGACTGATACATGTTCCTGTGTGGGTCTGGTCTGAACATATGAAGGAATGAAGTAGACCAGTAGAAGCTGCAGTGTTTCAAGTTTTAGTGCGAAAGTTAATTTGATTTTACTGCGACGGATTACAAGTCAATAAAAAAAATTCTTTTGGCCTGCACTTAACAAGTGTGTACATGGGATTTTGGGAATGCAAACATTTAAATGCTGCAATAATGTACAGGGGCCTCCAGTAATTAGTGGGGATATAGGGACTCAGGTGTGCAAAGTCAAGTAACTAAATTATAAATTAATATATATACTGCTTTGACATTTGTTTATGAATAAACTTTGTAATATAATAAAAAATCTCACCAGAAATTTAAGTATTAAATTAAAATTTCAATGGAAATTTGGACTTTGTAAATGAAATACTTTAATGGCAGTTATTAAAACAGAATATTAACACAAATTTAGGCATTGAACTCTGTCATGTCAGATACAGCATGAGCAGGAATTATCAATTTAACTTTCTAAACAGAAGTGGAATTTTTTGTGCTACTACA